GCTCTGGCTAAGTATATCCAGACGCAAAAGGCGCCCTTCCTTTTCCACTAATGGAGGAAAATTTTTTCACTAAGATCGAGTGCGTCCGGCCATGCGATTCTGCGCTGTATTGTTGTTTTATTCTTTACTGATTCATGATTATGCTTTAATTGTTTTGGGTATTATTTGGATAATAGCAATGAATTCTAACGCCACCAAGGAGGTTATGTATTCACCGATGTCACTGTCTGGTTGTCTATTCCAGTTTGTTTTTATATCTAGTACATAAAAAGTGATCGGTACGGGACGTCGGTAAAGAAGTGCAAAATCAGTCATCATTATGAATTCTTGTGCTTTACTGATCCATACTATTGGTAGGCCTATTATTTCAATGCTTTCCAACCCATTATTATTGACATTGAATACAGCTCTGATACTCACAGTATATATTTTTAATCACAAATTAGAACTGCATATATGTAGTTTTAAAACAATGTGCTTTCACAAAATTTATTTACAACACAAGTTTATGTAATTACTGTAGGCCTATATCCCGTTTAAAAAAGTATATATATATATAATATATATATATATAATTATATATATATATATATATATAAAGATATAAAAAGATAATATAAAAATTTGGCCTTATTATTCTAATTAGAGACTAAAAAGCGGATATAGGCTATGCTAGGTAGGTAGACCATGGAAATCCCGGTTCAAAAAGTGGTCTTATGTAATTAGAGTTAGACCTGTATTAATATTATTAAATTTCCTGTACCAAAAGAGCTCCATTTTCACGTCATTCATAAATAACTAACTGCATACAATACTAGCGTTATTATACGAACGAGTAATATTTAGTACTTTTTTCATTATTTTAGGCTAGTCTAATTATTTATTTATTTTTCTTCAATATCTTAGCTACGCAAGTCAATAGGCCTAGGCTAATTCATATGCCAAGTTTAAAAAAAACAAAATGTTAATATATATTTATAATATATATAGCTAATTTTTTGTTTAATGTCAGTGCAATATTTTTCCTTTCTCTATCCTTTGGAAATCGATATAAATTTTGACCCTGTTTGTATAATGTGTTGCAATTTACTGCACAGCAACGCCCTCCAATACCGTACGTCGCCATAGCGCATCGCGGTGTACAATTTTTTAATTGAGAATTGATAATAAAATACGCGACGACTTGGTAACGAAAGTTTGGCACAAGTTTTTTAGATCCAATTGTAGGGGGCGTCCCACTTTTCGTATTCCCACCATGCATTTCGGTGGAACACTTTTTTGCGTGGAGAACATGGGAGAACTCTATCTTGTGTTTCTAGTATCTTTGACTGTATAAAGTATACATATCTCCGAATTTGCCTAGTAACGAAGAATTCGTCGAGAAAATGGTAATATCTATGAGAAATAGTCTGTATTTCTCTTTTTTTTTATTCTTTTGCGTAAAACTAAAATTTATGCCAATATTTTCCATGATTTATAATAATTGGAGTAATGCATATGCATCTTTTCTAAAATTTTTTGCCGGGAATGGGGCTTTAACTTCCGACAACATTACAAAGACTAACCTCGCCAATGGGTATGTTTTTCTTGTTCCATGCCACAATTTAACGATTCGTTTCTTAGTACGTCATCATCCGACTCAGCAACTTCCCACGGTGATGTAAATTGTAACGAACAATCAATAACAAGGAAGAATATGCTAAATTGTTTACTACTAAACGCACGCAGTATTCGAAACAAGGGTCTAGAACTCTCCGCACGTGTTCACCAGAGTCTAATAGACATTGTATGTGTAACCGAGACTTGACTTACCGAAAATGATAGCTCATCTATACTACATCTTGAAAACTTTGTAATATTCAGGAAAGATCGTAATTCAAGGGGTGGTGGAGTACTTATAGCAGTAAATAAACATCTACAACCTGAACGTATAACAAAGTTGTAAAAGAATGAAAATATAGGTAGGTATAAGAAAAATATATAGAAATATATTTTAGAAGGTAAAGATTTTGAATGGGAGAATACCTCATAAGTCAGTCATAATCTCAAGTGCCATGTGATATATAGCATTGGTTAAAAATTTCCCAGACGAATAAAATAGACGAGCGGTACTGAGTAAAGGCAACTTGATTTCTTGATTCAAACAAAGTATACATAAAATTAAAACATTTTAAAATTCATTAGAATGTCCAAAATAGCAAGAACTTGGTGAATAAAAGCAATAATCTACTGTGATACAATAAAGTCGACCTTGGTGCTCCTGGGTTAAAACAAAATAACTTAGGCCTATCTAAACCAGGAGCGAGGCTGGTTTCGGCATGGGGTAAGGGAAGGGGGTAGAGTGCGAAAATGAGAATGCGGAACTAAATCCCAGAATGTGGAATTAAATCCCCATACCAATGAAAATTTATTTATAATTTTTAGCATTTTAATCCACTTGAATGAATTAGATTGCTGCCTGCCATGGGTACGGAGCGGGGTGCTTCCGCATCCCGCTCCTAAAACAAAATAACTTATCTAAACCAGGAGCGTAGGCTGGTTTCGGCCTAGGGTGGAGGGGGTAGGGTGCGAAAAATGAGAATGTGGAACTAAATCCCAGAATGCGGAATTAAATCCCCATACCAATGAAAACTTATTTATTTTCAGTATTTTAATCCACTTGATGGAAATAGATTGCTACCATGGGTAGGAGCGGGGCTGTCTCTTATACACATCTAGATGTGTATAAGAGACAGATTTACTACATGTAAAATCTACTAACTCGAATCACGATAATTGATGTAAAATTATTAACACTAACAGCAACAGAAAATCCTTATATATTGTATAAAATGTCAGAAGAAATAGGCCTAAATACGATTACATGTAAACAGAAATAAGTTAAAAATTGACCAGATATGAAATGATGCTTATTTCGAAAAGAAATTTTAAATCAAATAGTGGGTGGTTAAAATAACAGATAGGCTGTTACAAAACGTTATTACCTCCACCAAGTGTATTTGTTCACTGCTGTCTATTTGTATTTGTATTTGTCTATTTGTATTATTATTATTTGTATTATTTCTGTCTGTCGGTCTATCTCTGATAGCAAAATTACGACGCAAAAACTAACGAATGGATCATCACAAAATTTAGTGAAATGCTACATAATAGTCGAAAAACATTTTCCGGAAGAAAAGGTCAAATGTCAAGATCGCAGCAATTTATTTATTTACCCTCGAGCATAAAAGAAAATAATGAATCGACCCTCATATTCAGGCAGCACTCAAAAAAATAATGTACCTGAATACGGGACGTGATTCCATTATTTTCTTGAGAGTATGCTGCAGTTTTGCCCATCATACACGGCCTGCTTATTGTTAGTATTCAGTAACAGGGTGGAGGTGTGTACACTCTATAAAGTGACTTCCCTAGTATGTTTGACTGTTTAATATGAAAATATTTGAGGATGATGCTGTCAACAAGCGGACGAATACTCTAGGCACATTGCAGCCTAATCTTTAGGCCAAATGATACCACAGACTCGCAAAGAAATGCGCGTTGGTTTCTTTATTTTCGGGCTCAGAGTGGAATTAATAGTCACATTATAATAGGCATAGACATACTGTACGCTTATCATCTGGCACTCCCGGTAGACCACTCCTTGTATAATTCATCCTGCTGTGTGTATAGCATTCCGTCTGATGGATTACATTTTTCCGAATTAAAAGTGTCCATACCGGTATTACCATTCGTTATCATGTTAACACATATCCTCTATAGGATCTGTGAAGTTATGATTCGCTTTTGGAGTGTGAACGGAACCGGACACACTGCGTGTTCGTTTATTAAAGCAGTCCTGTCGTAGTTCATTTCTGTAATTAACTCCCCATCTACGATTGGCTATCACTGAGCGCGTAGTCTCAACATGCATTATGCATTATTATTAGTTTTGGTTAAGGACGAATAATTAATTAAGTATATAAACTTATCCATATAATTTCTTCCACCGGATATGACGGTGACAACGACGATGATGGATGGTGATGATGATGATGACTATAAATAATAACTTATTATAAATAGTCAAATGATTATATAATATTATTTATCAATATACTGCTATTAATCGGCCTAATTCATATTTATTTTTGCTCCATAATTTAACATTTCTGAATTATTGGTAATAGTTTCACTGTATAATACAAACACACTGGCCTATAATGCCTTGAACTAGACGTTACCGGGCGAAATAATTAAGCTTATTTTTTTTATAATTTAATCCCTTAGGAAATTGACGTCAATTGGATCAGCATCAGTTGATACAAAGGAGAGATGCGGAATTGTTTTCTGTCACTCGTCTAGTTGAATTTATACTACGAGTACTGCACGGTAACCATCCTGCGACGATGTCTTGGTTCCCGTGGTTAGGTCTGATGTTGGTTCTCACTACGACTGGTAGGTCTGCATTAAATATATCCCGTCTCGTCTTTATTAGGCTGATAAAAGAAGACTTGAAACAAAAAAATATCATAAATATTTATATTGCTTACTTTGTATTGTTCAAATAAGTTATATGATTTAATTTCGTAATTAGTTGCAAAAGTACGGAAAGTACGGAAGCGTATTTCTGCCAAAGTAAAAATAATTTTGAGTCATTATCTCGTACGTGCGAGATAATATCTCGTACGTAAAAGATAATGGCTCAAATTTATTTTTACGTTTGCAGCATTACGCTTAGGTACAAAAGATGGTGCCTGTCCGATACCTAAAGGCTTTGGAATTTGCGTGAATGTGTGCACAAGCGACTATGACTGTACAGGATCTTTGAAATGTTGTTCAAATGGTTGTGGACGTTCCTGTATGGAGGCTCTTGGTCTTATTGAACAAGGTAAACACGCCAAATGTATGTTTTATTCTAATAAATATATATTTATAAGAGGGCCCAATAGGGCGGAGGTTAGAAATCGAAATAAAAATTTAGTACTTACTCGGCATTTATTACTAATTTATTTGTAATAAATAAAATTGTTTGATTAAATATTATGGTACATTAATTGTAGTATTTTTATATTATACTCGAGCTTTAGATGAAAGCATGTTTTACAAATTAAAAGGTTAGCTATTTATTGAAAACTTATGCTGATGAAGTCAACACGAGTGGACGAAGTATTCAACCCGACTTTTGTATTTTCATTGCCATCGCTTTACCACTATATTCAACATCGCAGATTACACTACGTGACGTCATTATCTACCTTTATCTATTGATATACAATACTTTAAAATTTCTACTTCTAGATGTTACGGTCGTCGTGCAATCGAAAGCTTCCTATTGAGTTTCCCGCCACAGCAGAAAAGCAATTGTGTGTGTTTTTGTTTTTGTTTTTGTTTTTTCTTTTTTTTTTTTTTTTTTTTTTTTTTTTTTTTTTTTTTTTCCTGTTCCCCACCCCAGTTTTTATGATTTTAGATATAAAAAAAAGTAGGAAAACAAAACAGTTTAAATTACCCTATATAAATTTATTATTACTTTATGCTAAGTAAAATGTTCTACTTTTGCAGGTATAGATACAGACCCACTCATCATTTTTGCAGACCGTTACACCGTACGTGAATATGACCCAATTAAGAAGGAATACCGAACGATCGCAGACAATCAGAAAAACGCCGTGGCTTTAGACTATGACTTCAAGGAGATGCAGATATATTGGTCTGACGTGTCTCTGGATCAGATCTACCGCACTAATATAGATGGTACTGGTGTACCAGAAGTTCTCATCACTGGGGCTAGCATACCGGATGGAATCTCTATTGATTGGGTCTACCGTAACATTTACTGGACTGATACGGGAACCAATGCCATTGAAGTCGCAAACCTCAAAGATACAAGCAAACGTACCATTCTCATTTCTGATAACTTAGATGAGCCAAGAGCTATTACTATAGAGCCAAGACTTGGGTAATGTCGCTTGATAAATAACATTAGATTAATTTATAATCACTACTGGTTGTGATATGTTTTAAAATATACATGACAGATAACAGATACATACAATTATAAGTTGTTATACATTTAATCTTCTTTAAAATTGGATTCTTATTGAAAACATTACTTTTTATGTTTTTCCACAGATACATGTTCTGGACTGATTGGGGTCAGGCAGCTAAGATTGAACGCGCAGGAATGAATGGAGAGGCAAGAGTGACCCTCGTGGACACTGACATTAACTGGCCAAATGGTCTGACTACTGATCTTGTTAGCAACCTTCTCTTTTGGGTAGATGGCCAGAGACACAGCCTAAGCAGCATTGACTACAACGGTCAGGGTAGACGCACCATTATCCAATCAAGTTCAATTCTGCCTCATCCTTTCGCTATCACCGTATTCGGAGATTATGTCTATTGGACAGATTGGCGGAAAAGGGCTATCAGTAAAGCCAACAAATTCACTGGAAAACATACCATTTTGGTTGAAAATCTCAGTCGTCCTACGGGCATCCAAATATATCACCCTCAAAAACAAATCGACGGTAAGAATATGATCGAAGTCTTCTATACTTGAAAGGGAGAAAGTAAATGAAAATCATTCATATGTTGTAGTTTTTCAAAGAATTCCGTTAAACCTTTACCCATCTTTTTTTTCACTTAAGGAATTATTAACTATTGTGAAAGAAATAACGGTGGATGCTCTTATCTGTGCGTAGCTTCCCCTAAAAGGGGCGATAAATCAGCTAAATATTCGTGTCTCTGTCCCACAAACTCGTTCTTAATGCAAGATGGGCGTACATGTGCGGGTTCAACCAGGAATCCACCGACTTCACCTCCTGCAACAATAGGTACAGTATTAGCATTATTATTCCTATTGTTATTATCATTATCATTATTATTATCATCATTATTAGCCAAAAAAAACAAAAAAACAAAAAAAAAAACCTTTAAGGCTTACCCAGTGGACGCCTTCAAAATTGATCCAAGTAAAGACCATAAATAAAGTTGTGCCTATTAAAAATTAAGTCACACCTACTAATTTAAATCAAATAATAATGTACTGCAAATCTGAGCAAGTGACAAACCACGATAAACCTCTGCATTTGCGTGTACTTTTAGAGGATACCTGTACAGATTATCAATTCAGATGCTATGATGGGCGATGCATCTCAATCTATTGGCACTGCGATTTTGAAATAGACTGCGATGATCGGTCTGACTACATAAAGCATGAGTCAGTTACATCATTGTTTTACATAATACATTATTTTTTAAGAGACAGCACAAGCTTTAAAGTTGCTGTATGCTTGCCGTCCAATGCGAATTATAAAACCAAGGAAGCTCAATCGTAATTTTGATGGAATAGAATATTGAGTATATTTTTGTTATTTGACACAGTTTAAGCTTTGAGTTAATCTTTGATTATCGGGCGTACATGTGCGGGTTCAACCAGGAATCCACCGACTTCACCTCCTGCAACAATAGGTACAGTATTAGCATTATTATTCCTATTGTTATTATCATTATCATTATTATTATCATCATTATTAGCCAAAAAAAACAAAAAAACAAAAAAAAAAACCTTTAAGGCTTACCCAGTGGACGCCTTCAAAATTGATCCAAGTAAAGACCATAAATAAAGTTGTGCCTATTAAAAATTAAGTCACACCTACTAATTTAAATCAAATAATAATGTACTGCAAATCTGAGCAAGTGACAAACCACGATAAACCTCTGCAATTGCGTGTACTTTCAGAGGATACCTATACGGATTATCAATTCAGATGCTATGATGGGCGATGCATCTCAATCTATTGGCACTGCGATTTTGAAATAGACTGCGATGATGGGTCTGACTACATAAAGCATGAGTCAGTTACATCATTGTTTCACATAATACATTATTTTTTAAGAGACAGCACAAGCTTTAAAGTTGTTGTATGCTTGCCGTCCAATGCGAATTATAAAACCAAGGAAGCTCAATCGTAATTTTGATGGAATGGAATATTGAGTATATTTTTGTTATTTGGCACAGTTCAAGCTTTGAGTTAATCTTTGATTATCGGTTCTCTCGAGGTCTTCAATCCTGGAAAAAAAAACGTTTTCTAACGGTGGAACAGGAGTCGGCTTGTCAACAATAGGCATTCATTGGCACATTAAGCCAACGCCTAACGTAATTAATTCCTACGTTATTAAAGTTAACTATCCCTATCACCCTTATGCCGACGTCTTAGTAACATCAACATACTTCAAAATACCAAACGTGATGTTACCTTTAGTTGGAAACGTATTTTTATCTTTGAATAAACTCATGTGGTTTTTAAAATATTTATTGAATGATCTTCTTCTCTTTAAAACAGTGCAATACATACCTGCAACGTCCAATGCACCTGAAATTTTGCAGCTATGTAATGTTATTACCGCGGTCTAACCAAAAAAAAATGTAATAGGCCTAATTGTACTAACGTAAAATCCTAACCTAATGTTTATAGGCCTGAGTTCACATCTCTCTAATAGTAGTAGAGCATTCTGTGCTGCCTCAATCTGTTTATGTTTTATTCTAATAAATATATATTTATAAGAGGGCCCAATGGACCTTTCCGCTAAGCTCCGCCCCTTGGATATTGTTGCTTAGGTCCCACAAAGACAGCAGTGTTAAAACATACGCGAACACGCGAACACGTGCGTTTGTGGGACACACGTGTGTTTGTAAGACGCGCGCGCATTCCTAGCGCTGTTCTGATTAGTCAGTTGTTAAGTTTGATTGACACTCCGGAAAGGTCTATAGGGCGGAGGTTAAACATCGAAATAATAATTTAGTACTTACTCGGCATTTATTACTAATTCATTTGCAAAAAATTATCTTTTATCGAAGCAATTTTGAAACTTGTGAAATTTGTTGATTAAATATTATGGTACATTTTGTAGTATTTTTATATTATACTCGAGTTCTAGATGAAAGCATGTTTTACAAATTAAAAGGTTGGCTATGTATTGAAAACTTATGCTGATGAAGTCAACACTAGTGGACGAAGTATTCAACCCGACTTTTGTATTTTCATTGCCATCGCTTTACCACTATATTCACAGATAACACTACGTGACGTCATTATCTACCTTTATCTATTGATATACAATACGGTACTTTAAAATGTCTACTTCTAGATGTTACGGTCGTCGTGCAATGGAAAGCTTCCTATTGAGTTTCCCGCCACAGCAGAAAAGCAATTTTTGTTTTTGTTTTTGTTTTTGTTTTTTTTTTTTTTTTGGTGTTCCCCACCCCAGTTTTATGATTTTAGATATAAACAAAAGTAGGAAAACAAAACAGTTTAAATTACCCTATAAAAATTTATTATTACTTTATGCTAAGTAAAATGTTCTACTTTTGCAGGTATAGATACAGACCCACTCATCATTTTTGCAGACCGTTACACCGTACGTGAATATGACCCAATTAAGAAGGAATACCGAACGATCGCAGACAATCAGAGAAGGAATACCGAACGATCGCAGCCAATCAGAAAAACGCCGTGGCTTTAGACTATGACTTCAAGGAGATGCAGATATACTGGTCTGACGTGTCTCTGGATCAGATCTACCGAACTAATATAGATGGCACTGGTGTACCAGAAGTTCTCATCACTGGGGCTAGCATACCGGATGGAATCTCTATTGATTGGGTCTACCGTAACATTTACTGGACTGATACGGGAACCAATGCCATTGAAGTCGCAAACCTCAAAGATACAAGCAAACGTACCATTCTCATTTCTGATAACTTAGATGAGCCAAGAGCTATTACTATAGAGCCAAGACTTGGGTAATGTCGCTTGATAAATAATATTAGATTAATTTATAATCACTACTGATTGTGATATGTTTTAAAATATACATGACAGATAACAGATACATACAATTATAAGTTGTTATACATTTAATCATCTTTAAAATTGGATTCTTATTGAAAACATTACTTTTTATGTTTTTCCACAGATACATGTTCTGGACTGATTGGGGTCAGGCAGCTAAGATTGAACGCGCAGGAATGAATGGAGAGGCAAGAGTGACCCTCGTGGACACTGACATTAACTGGCCAAATGGTCTGACTACTGATCTTGTTAGTAACCTTCTCTTTTGGGTAGATGGCCAGAGACACAGCCTAAGCAGCATTGACTACAACGGTCATGGTAGACGCACCATTATCCAATCAAGTTCAATTCTGCCTCATCCTTTCGCTATCACCGTATTCGGAGATTATGTCTATTGGACAGATTGGCAAAAAAGGGCTATCATTAAAGCCAACAAATTCACTGGAAAACATACCATTTTGGTTGAAAATCTCAGTCGTCCTACGGGCATCCAAATATATC